AGTAGGGATAAGTCAACGCCTAACACGCGTTGCCAGTTTAGTCTTTCACCGATTGAAAAAAGACACCAGAATACGAGTCTGGGGATGTTTATCCCGAATCCTAAGTAGGGATGAGTCAGCGTCTAACACACGTTGCCGGGTGCTATATTCCCGTAAGAAATGGCGAAGTCTATGTATTCAAAATCATAGCACAAAGTCTAGGAGAATTATTTTATCCCGAATCCTAAGTAGGGATGAGTCAGCGTCTAACAAGCGTTGCCGGGTGCCATATTCCCGTAAGAAATGGCGAAGTCTATGTATTCAAAGTCATAGCACCAAGTCTAAGTGAATTAATTCTCTTAGCGAGTAGGGATAAGTCAACGCCTAACACGCGTTGCCAGTTTAGTCTTTCACCGATTGAAAAAAGACACCAGAATACGAGTCTGGGGATGTTTATCCCGAATCCTAAGTAGGGATGAGTCAGCGTCTAACAAGCGTTGCCGGGTGCCATATTCCCGTAAGAAATGGCGAAGTCTATGTATTCAAAGTCATAGCACCAAGTCTAAGTGAATTAATTCTCTTAGCGCAACGTTACATGTGAAACGGGTTTTAATAATTCACATGCTAGCCCGATTCAAACGGTAATCGGTAAAGGCACATCAAATCCGTTGAAGGCTGGGGGTTTGACCGATTAAAAAAGACACCAGAGTCTAAGTCTAGGGAATTTTATCCCGAAGCCTAAGAAGGGATAAGTCAACGCCTAGCACGCATTGCCGGGTGCCATATTCCCGTAAGAAATGGTGAAGTCTATGTATTCAAAATCATAGCACTAAGTCTAAGAGAATTAATTCTCTTAGCACAACGTTACATGCGGAACGGATATAGAATAATCTGCATGCTAGCCCGACTCAGACGGTAGTCGGTAAAGGCTCATCAAACCCGTTGAAGGCTGGGGGTTTGCCAAAAATCCCACAAGTATTATGGTTGATTATTCCATACGGAGTAAGACATCATAATAAATGAGACATAATGAATGAAAAAAAGACATATTTTCTATTAATAAAATTGAGTTTGCAGGTACAAGAGTTACAATCAATCTACATGAAGTTTGTGACTACATGCTTGCTGTTCAAGTTTAGTCAATTCCTCTGTATAAGTTCGCTCAAACTCACACTGCAATGCAACCATGAAGGATTCCTCGGTGAGGGATAATGTTTTCGCAGCCTCTTGTTGGATCTTGGCTAACTTCTGTTTCGAGAGCTCCAATTTTTCGGATATCACAACTCGTGAACGCTCCAAGTCACCCTTCGCCATCCCCAAGATAGCCAAGGCCTCCATTTGATCCACCCGACTTTGGTGCGTTTGAATCTCAAGTCCAGCCGAAGCCCGAGTGTCGTGCCATGCTTGTAGACGAGATTCCATCCAAATGGCTGTGTACGTTGAGCTACCAGCAGTCTTCAACTCTTGTAACCGTCGGAATTCGCGCTCCAGCCGGTCCAAAGCGTCGACATAGCTAATCTGCAATAAAGATCAACAGCTCAGTCAGATCAAGAATTGAGATACATAAATCGAAAGACTAAAAGGGAAATTGCGAATCTTTAATTGAAATTCTATAAAATGGAATTTTCCAATTAAAGGTCTAATTAAACCTATACGACATTCTCGGTTCAAATTAAAGGAAGATCAAATATATAAGCCAAGCGAATCAAGCGTCTCTTGCATAGTTCACGTGCGCAATTGAGCATGAAAATCCAAGGGAAAATCAAGTTAAGTGTCGTGGAGTCAAATATGAGGCCTCGATCATGTGAACATGCAGATTCACAAGCTCAATCATACACAAGAATAGCTCGAATTCAAGGCGTGCACGAGTTCAGTTACATATGAACTCAATAATACAAGAGCTCAGTTATATACAAATTCGAATTCGAATTATATACAAGAGTTCAACCATAACCATGAGTTCAATCACATGTACAAATTCAAGGCGTATAAGGTTCTCAACCGCATACAAGTTTGGATTCAAGTTCTCGAGCCACGTACAAGTTCGAATTCAATCGTATACCATGTTCAACCACGTGCAACCAAATTCAGGGAATTCTCATTCAAATACATGCACAAGATCAGATTCAAGTCATCAACCAAAAAAAAAAAAAAATTTATATACATGAGTTCAATCATACAAGTTCAGTTCTCAACCAATATACAAGCTATGGGTTTTTTTTTGAGTCATAATTCAGGGTCAAGAATAGTACATTAGAATTCCCACACAAGTCAGCCTATGACAATAAGGATGCATGGGACAATGAGGAATCTTTCACGCCCAAAACTATTGCAGGAGAGTTAGATTTCACTGTCAAGAACCATAATTGTTATGTTGCTTCGCGCGCCACTGATGCCGAGTTGCTTATAGCATTAGATCCTCGTGATAAGGAGGAGGATGAGTTTAGTTCTTTCGTGGTGGATAAGAAAAGCTTCGAGTGGGTCGATGCAATGGTTTCAAGGGCAAAACTAAGAGGAACGGGTCTCAAATACCCAAACTAAGCACTCAAGTCCTTGACTGCCATTCAAAATCCAACCTATATATCAAAATCAAGTTTTTCGGCCATGAACAGTAACTTTTGGCCATGGACAGTGAAAATTTCGGCTAACAAGGAATTCTAATCAACAACTTCAGTTCTTTACACAAATTCAAGAATCAAACTCAAAAATTCGGCCATCACCCCAACATCAATTTCGGTTTTCCCCAAAATTGAAGAACTAGGGCTTCAATTGTCAAGTCAAAATTCAAAGATTCAACCAAAATTGAAGCAAAGGCATTGAAGTTTACCTGGATTCGAAGAAGAATCGAGAAGGGGAAGGGCCCGTCGGAACAAGATCAACCGATGCTCAGACCCAAACCAAAAGTTGAGGGGTTTGAAAGAGAGGGAGGGGGATAAGGGATTTAAAGGGGCTTGAGGAAGGTTTGATCTTGTTAGAACTCTTGAAGAAGAGGAGTTTTGGATGGTTGGAACTCAGGAAAGAAAACCGAAATTTTTGAGAAGCTTTGATTTTGTTTGGAATTCTTGAAGGAGAGGAGCTCTCAAAAGACCGGAGCTTGAAGAAGAAGTTTTTGAGGAACTGGAACCGAACAATAGAAAGAGGAAGAAGAAAGAAAGATGGGGGTTTTCACCCCTTGCCCAGATTCCGACCCGCGTTCCGCGGGTCGGACTTGTGTCCGACCCGCGTGCTCGCGGGTCGGATTAATCCGACCCGCGATCACGCGGGTCGGACTCATCTGACCCGCGTGAACGCGGGTCGGACCAGGTCTAATGACTGTTTTGCTGTATTTTCGTCCGTTTTCGTCCGTTTTCGAAATTTTCGAAGGTTAACCTCATCTCCCGGACAATTTCACGGTATTTTTGTTCATATTTGGAATGTTCAGAGTTCGACTTCATTTCCCGGATAATTGAGCGGCATTTTCAGTCAGATTTGGAATTTTCGGAGTTCAATTCCGTCTCCCAAATAATTGCGAGATATTTTCGTCTATTTTCAGAATATTCGGGACCCAATTTTATATTTTGGATGATTTCGCGATATTTTTGCCTTTTATCGAAATATTCGAAATCCGAACTCCAACGGGTACATAAGTCTAAACTGTTTCCCATTTTGACAGGAAGTTCCTAGAGAATATTACAGATAATAATTCTTAAGGATAACCTGGCAGCCTCCGGCGGGTACACGAGGTTAAACTGATTCCCGAAACTCCCAGGAGTACACGAGTATAAACTGGTTCTCCTCAGGTTAACGCAAAACCCTAAGGTCAACGCCAGTCAACGCGTAGCCCTAGGTCAACGTCGGTCAACGCGTTGCGATGAAAGTCAACGCCGATCGATTCGAAACCCTAAGGTCAATGTCAGTCAACGCGTAGCCCTAGGTCAACGCCTGTCAACGCGTTGTAATTGATCCAAAAGTCAACTCAATGACATATCAACAAAAAATCCACTCACCAATTCCGGTTCAAGGCTTCAATAACGGTCAGACGATAAACGCGGTACCGAGAAAATCTTAGCTATTCGACAAAATACAGAATACGCTAAAATATGGAGAAGTCAAGAATCGAAACCATCTGTAGGTCCTTTAACACCGACTGAAGGTGGGGATCCATCATATCCAAAGCGTTTCAGACTCCTCTATAAAAGAATGAGGCTGAAACACTTTGGAGGGGGTATCTGTAGGCGTCTAAAATTGTCTACGAGAGCCCGCACGAAACTCGAAGCAATGAATGGGCAAGTCAAGAAGATTCGTCAAACCAACTCGTGCGCGTCGGTCAAACGCGTGCACGTCAAATCACCTCGTGCGCGCCAGTCAACGCGCGCACGTCAATCAGCCCGCGCGCATCGATCAGCACGCGTATATTAACCAACGCGCGTTCGACGATCGGTCTCGCGACAAAGCATACGAATCAATAAATCTATCGAATACGCGACAAGAACAAGTCCCGGAAGAAAGAAACCAAAAAAGAGAAAAAGTCGGCGAACCCGCGCTAAGCGCAGGACGGAATGATCCGACCAGCGCAAGCGCGGGACGGATCAATCCGACCCGCGCAAGCGCTGGTCGGATCAATCCGACCCGCGCATGCGCGGGTCGGATCAATCCGACCCGCGCAAGCGCGGGTCGGATCGTTCTGCCGCGCAGTAAAGTCCCAAAACGACCCGCGCAAGCGCGGGTCGGATCGTTCTGCCGCGCAGTAAAGTCCCAAAACACGTTTTGACGGTTTTAAATTGGTTTTTTGCAGGGTTTATCGGTTCCAGGAGTTCTTAACTGACTTAAGATCATCCCCAACGTGGTTGGGCCTGTTGTCAAAACTGAAGATAAGAGCCAAATCACTTGTTCTCATCCAATATAACGCATCGCAGGCCTATAAATATGAGCCCAAATGCCTCATTTTCGAGATCTGCGAATTTTATCAAGAGGACGAGGTGTCGCGATTGAAGGTGAAGGAGCACGAAATTTCAGCGAAGGACAAAGAGATCCACGGCGAACTTCGGAGCCAAGGAGAGACCGTTCGAGAGGGATCTGAAGCGCCGTAGTCCGTTCCTGAGATTAGGCTTTGGTCTTAATCTCGAGAAGAGCCCTGATTTCCTCTTGTCGATTTTCAGGATCTTCAAGCAAATACCCCTTGGTGGGTAGAAGCTCTGCCAATGTTTCCATCAACCGGATCTGATTCGGCGTCGTCACCGGATTAACCCCGGGCACCGGCAAAAAGAACCCACGCAAGCAAGAGCCGATAACGGATCTTGTGTTATTTTTCAGAAAGTTGCTAATCTTTGATTCTTTTTTATTTGAATTCCATTTGACGCTTAAAGTTTTAATGGAAACAATGACTAAGCGTAACTTTCACGAAACATAACTCATATTATATCACTATACTTTCTACTTAATTTTCATTATCTTAGCCTATATTTATTGAGTGTAATTATTTTCATTCACTGTTATCACACACACAATATTGAGCTTAATATTTTCATACTATATAGTGTGGGTTGTGGGGTGTGATTTAGTGAGTGTGAGCTTCATTGTGTATCTCATTTGTTATTGAGAACAAACCATTGTATTTAATCTTTATTTGTGAGTATCACTTGTAATACACTTGTACACCGAGTGAAGTGTGAGGCGAGAGACGGGGTCGAATCCAATAGGGGTGGCGTCGGTTGACTAACCTAGGGAGAGGTTACATCCGAGCACTTGAGGAGGAGCACACGGGCTAGGTTCCTACACTTAGTGTGTAAAGTGTGATTGATTAGTGATTGTGTAGTGTGAGAGTTTTCAGTGATCTTGTAAACCAAGTGTGTAGAAGTTCCGGCTTCCAAACCAGATTGTGATAGTGGATATCTCCTCGAGGTGAGGAGCGGGGACGTAGGTCGTGGGGACCGAACCTCGTAAACATATTTGTTTGTGTTTTTGCTTAGCGTAATTTTTATTTGTGCTTATTCATATCTTTCTTGCTCATATCTATCTTATATCATTCGTGCAAGAACATTGATCAATATAATTTTTAATTGGAATTTAATCGGGATTAGATTAGCATAAGACCCTAATAACCCCCCCCCCTCTAGGGTCTAACAATTGGTATCAGAGCTTGGTGCTCTTTGATTTAAGGACTAATCGCCTTGAGTTAAAGATCCAAGTTATCGATTTCGTGCTAATCTAGTGTTGATTGCTTTTTGCTTCTTGCATATAATCATTATGGATATGTATGATGCATCTAGTCTAGGTTATGCTATTAATATTTGCTCCTCGTTTGGATATTTTTCCCTATACTCAATGGCGTGTTAGATTCAAACTTTTTGTTAAATCTAAACAATTCGATTTATGAGAGATTATTGAGGATGCCTATGTTGTTCCCATTTTGGAAAAATCCAAATGGAGTGAAAATGATAAAAGATTGTTTAACATGAACAAGCTTTTGTTAGAATACTTGCTTAATGCTTTTTGCTCATCGTTTTCTAACAAATTTGCTCATTTTGATAGTGCTTACG